ATGGCGGGATCCCGCCTTAGGTGGTGGGATCCCACCTTTCCCACCTGGGATGAATATTTGATCCCACCCAGGATCCCGCATTAAATGCGGGATTCCTGCATCCCACCCGGGATCTTAGATGGGATTTCTGTATCCCACCCGGGATCTTAGGTGGGATTTCTGCATCCCACCCGGGATCTTAGGTGGGATTTCTGTATCCCACCTGGTAGTTTAGGTGGGACTTCTGCATTCCACCCGGGATCCTACTCAGGATTTACATATTCCACCTGGGATCCTTTATCCCACCTAGAAAAATACTCTCCCTCATGATCTTGAGAAGGATCCATCTTATGTGCATGTATGACACTAACTGTGGAATTTGTAACTCCATGTAGTCTGGGATTAGATTTGCCACCCAAATTTATCCATTTCAAACATTCCACACATGTCATTCAGGCAGTAATCAATCAGATGAAGCTTATACAGATAGGAACAACAAATTCTAAGATGCTATTCCCAGTAAAAGTACTACAGCACATAACTGTTATACTATACACATTTGTTGTAAGCCTGATAAAGTGTATTTAAATAATGATTGTCGGTTTTAATTCTACAAATCTACATGGGAGTAATAGTATGATACAAAATATGCATATTAACAAACAGAATATTACAAAAGGACCAAAACCTATATCCAAGTGGCTACAGTACTCTTGTCATAGAAAAATTAAGAATCTAATTAATTTACAAGTCAGTCATGCTCCACCACATTTGGAAATGTACTTAATGTCAGCATATTATCTCCAGAAGAACTTACTACAATGCAAAATCTTTTAATACGACATAGTGGTATACAAAAAGAAGTATTTGACCTTTTGGTCACTGCCATGTGGTGAACTAAAACACCTGAATCTGAATAGTTATTTAGTAATTCTGAAGATGATGTTATCCCTGACACCAAAGACCCATTTGGGACTAACTTAGTTATAACTGCAACATGATGGTCTTTCAAAACTAAAAATTTCTGTATTTCTCCAAAGTGAGTTAATCCTCTTGCATCCTCATACTGAACAGTATAAGAGTTCTTCAATTTGCTTTTGGACCAACGAGCACTGCTAAGAATGGCACCATTTACAACTGCTCTGCGATAAGTTTCAACCTC